CTCTCGTTATCGTCTCCAACATCCTTGTTTCCCATTGCTCTGTAAATATGGTCACCCTTCTTTGCATTACATGTCATCCCCCCTCATGTTTCAGCTCGTTCGCTGCATCAACTCAAACCACTGCAGCACCCAAAGAGAAGACACCGCAAACAAAAGTAACAGGAAAACATAAGAAGATCAGCCATCACCGATAGCATTCAGCAAGATGGGAGGTAGAGAGGGCTGTTTCACTGAGAGGGGGTGGGACAGGAGGAAAGGGGGAATTCCAGCTCTGCGGGGGCATACTCTAGGGGGAATTGTGTGCTGCTGAGGGAGCGGGAATGGCCGTTTAGGGGGCTGTTCTGAACTGGGGCCGGTGCGGTGAGGGGGCACCTTCCGGCGGAGGCAGTGTATGGACAAAGGGATGTTTTTGAGGGAGGAGTAATCTCCGGAATTTTTTTGTGAGTTCTTCATGTGAGCTTCGAATAGACACCGGATCCGCTACAGGNTGGACAAAGGGATGTTTTTGAGGGAGGAGTAATCTCCGGAATTTTTTTGTGAGTTCTTCATGTGAGCTTCGAATAGACACCGGATCCGCTACAGGATGAGGGGTTATTTTTCCCTCCCTTCCTCCCGTTTCATGGAGGTAGAAGGGGTTTTCTCTGCCTTTGTCTGAGTCAAATTTCTCTGAAGGAGGGCAGGGGGGGGGGTAGAACTGGAGGATGGAATTTAGTCAGGAGGTTCTCAATAGAGGAATGGCTGTTGGGCAAGTAGGTCAGAAGAACATTACTGGGGCAAAATTCCTTGGACTTCAGTCGAGAGTTTTGTCTTCAGATTCCCACAAGCTGTACTTCCTGATACTGTTTTTGAGGCAGTTGTAAAAATTCTTTTTGATATGCAACTAAAACAAGTTTTAGCTTAAAAAAAAAAAAAAAAAAAAAAAAAAGGGAATTTAAATGTAGCAGCAGTTTTAATACTACCAGAAGGATTTGAAGCTGGGACGACACAGGGCGGTGCAGGAGCTTTGGCTCTGTGACCTGGGGGGGGGGGAGCTTGAGGCTTGTGGAATTATGCTGAGGGTGGAAGGCATAACCAGATCGTTCGACGAAGCGGGCGCCGCCGGGGTATTAACCCTGTAACCTGTTCAGGGGCTTGCCGCTAAGGGTAGTGTCGAGGGAGGAAGGCACTTCCTGTCCGTCAGAACTAAGTTGGTCAGAACTGGGGAAGGTTGCGGTGCCCTGTTACCCTAGCATGAAGGGGGTGTGAGATCAAGTGAGTTCTGGTACTAGGACTGAAAGCCTGGACAGACTTTCCGTCTGATTGAGGGGTGGATTTTGGATAGTAGGCTGTTTCAGTTTTGAACCCCCGCTCATATAGTTTTCCATGCCTTTCCAGATATCTTCAAGAAACAAAAAGACTTAGTAACTGTGCCTCGAGTAACCTAGCATTAGGTTGGTAGGTCAGCAGTTATCCATGGTTTTCTTAAAAATTCTTCTGGATTTCTTCCGTAGGTCTCAGATTGTTCTTAGCTGAAATTCTTAGATTGTTCTTAGTCGAAACCTGTAGTTATCTTTGGTTTTCTTAAATTTCTCCTGAACTCTTGTCGCGGTTCTTAGATTGTTCTTAGCTCGATTACAAAAAAATCTTAGTCATCTCAAACCTGAAAACATTGGGGAGGAAAAGGGACACAACTTCGGAAAAGGGGAATAAATAAAGAAGTCAGTGATTCTTGTACATGACCGTGTGTCTATTATTATTCTAACATGTTCGATATGAGAAAGATTGGATACTTGGTGTGAATGAATATGGACCTTATTGTTTGGCCAAACAGATTTGTAACTTGGTACGTGAACTTATCTATAGGCATGTGCCCTTATTTATTCATATAAACTTTTCTTTTGTTTACTATACCTAATTCTTTCTAGTGAAGTCAAAAAGCTTGTATAACTTGAATCGCATTGGAGATTTCTGTTTCGCTTTCAGGGGCGAGGTCCCATTAGCAGTCGGATAGGAGTGTGGCCGATCCAGTGTGACAATGAGTGGCAGCGGGCTGACAGGTTCATTACGAAATGAATTTCTGGGCTGAGAAAGCAGGAGAAAGGCAAAAGAAGAAGAAAGAAAAAGAGACCTCCCACCGGAAATCACGGCAGAGTGCTTCCCAGCCATCAGATCACAAATGATCTGATGGTGGTGGTTGCATCAACAGTGAACAAAGTAAACCGCCACGTTTTTTTTTTTTTTTTTTGGAAAGCTTAAAATTTTTATTACAAAACCGCCGCCACATTTTTCTGGAATAAACTCGACGTCTGTCAGCAGTGATCCTGACACCCTCCATATACTCTGTGATTGAAGGAGATACTGAAAATCTTCCATCCAGTGGGCCTATGGCCGACCCCACCCTCTTTTGGGGTTGGCCACACCCCCAACCGATTGAAAAGAATCTGGCGGGAAGCTTTCTTTGCACGGGCATGCCCAGTGTTAAGGAGAGGAGGAGGGGAACAAAGATCTCGTTACTTTTTAGGGTAATAGTACCGTAATACATGTAAAATGCGGGATTTGAACCTGTGGCACGTCTTAAAGATTAAATGCGGGATTTGAACCTGCGACTTCCGGGAGGGGCTTCGCATACTGTGAAATGCTTTGATACGCCAAAAGGGTCCTTCCGGACATCCATTAAAATTGGAACAATACAGCAAAGATTAACATGACAAGCCGAAAAAAAAAAAAAAAAAAAAAAAAAAAAAAAAAAAAANAAAAAAAAAAAAAAAAAAGGAAAGAAAGGAAAGAAAGGAAAAAACTTTAAAAAAAGATAACGGAGAACAGCCAAGCCAATGATAGGAAAGGTAGCTTGGCAGGAAGGATCCTGTTTTGAATACGTACTTGTCGCAGAAGATCTGCAAGCGTCCGAGGAAGAGCGACTATGTCTTGCAATAGAATGTAGTAAGGGAACGGGAAGGAATCGAGGTACTTGGAGAAAGATGGCTTTCCTTGAGCGAATGACACCGTCTGATGGCACGACAAACGGCAATCGAAAGCCGACAAGGAGAAACACGAGCAACACATGGAATCGTTGTTTTCGCATGAGCAAGCCGGCACATAATGCAAGTGCATTCTCAACACTTTCAAAACTTATCACTCAAAGCTTTAGATAAAGCACAACATATTCGCAAGGTGCCGCATTATTAACTTCGAAGGAATTGTTACAAACGATATTCCAGACTGCTTGGTGATAATCAATGCAAAATTGCAGATCGGAATTAAAAAAGAAAAACAGATTTTTTTTTTTGTTTTGTTTTTGAATCCCATGGCCATACCAAACACAAGTAGAGGGAGGCAGATTCTGCCGATTTTTTGGCCTCTCTTTTTTTTTTTTTTTTTTTTTTACATACTTCCATTTGGCATTTACAGAATTTTCACTCTTTTGTACCTTACTTAAAAAAACACTAGCAAAGAAAGCATATATACCAATGAACTGATGAACTGACGACCTGAGTTCGAATCCGGATGCAATCAGATGAATGGAATCAAGTAATCCGGATGCAATCAGATGAATGGAATCAGGTAATTACTTCCATTTATATAAAACTCACACTCTTTTGTGCCTTACTTAAAAAATCAATAGCAAAGAAAGCATGAACAGAGCACACACATACCAGTGGACCTACCTTAGTTGGTACACATGACCTGATGAACTATAGACCTGAGTTTAAATCCAGATGCAATCAGATGCATGAAATCAACTCATTCTGGATTACCTGGGCTCAGTTGCTTCAATGACATCTCACGGCCGCCGCCCTTCTTATTCTTTAAAAAGGAAAAAAAAAAAAAGAATCGAACCCAGCACATTTGTATCCTCCTGTGCTGCTCGCCCTTCTTCTTTTTTTTTTCTTTTTTTTTTTTAATAATAAAACAGGTCCTTGTGGGCCCGGCTCCATTTCCATTCTGGGGAGCATCAGTCCGGTTCCTATTCAGAATAAAACATTACAGTCTTTAAAAAAGGAGAAAAAAAAAAGAATCGAACCCAGCACATTTGTATCCTCCTGTGCTGCTTGCCCAGTAGTTACTGATCAACCTGCTTGTAGGGCATCGGGCCCCACCGTGCCTCGAACCGGCACCCTCAGCCACAGGCACAAAGTCTCGAAACCCACTACAACCCTTGGCGGTGTTATAAAAACTGCATCCATACCCGTAGCAATATCCAGCCCACCCCCATGGCTGCAGCGTCCTTGAACTCACACCACACCCAGCACAACACCACACCTCGGACACGGCAATCAACACACACTCCACTCGGACAGCACACGACCCACGACCGCTACTTAACCCGGTCACTCCCAGTAACTGCGCTTGTTTCTCTCATCCATCCCACCCCCAGGGCTGTAGCATCCTTGAGCTCACACCACACCCAACACAACACCACACTGCAGACACGGCAATCAACACACTACATTCGGACAGCACGCGACCCACCACCGCGACTTAACCCGGTCACTCCAAGTAACCGTGCATGTTTCTCTCTTACACATTTGACAGATACTTCCAAACCCCAAAAAAATGTTCCCCACATAGGTTTCCCCCCACAACTTCCAGTAACTAGAGAGGAAAAGATGCACAAGAGAAAAAGGTGCACAAAACGACCACCCTTCTCCATTTGCTATACAAGAAATGATGAGAACCGAAGTCAAAACAAGTCCCAAACATAGATTGATGGCCTCAGATTGATAAACCTAGCATACTGAAGAAAAAAAAAAAACTAAATACAATGAATGAGAAGCAATTGATCAGATCTGAATTCAGTGTTCACTGTTTGTGACGTTGTGCACTGTGTGGTCCCAAAAAAAGAACGACGAAAAAATCTCAAAATCTTGGTGGCAGTCATGATGATGCTGGATGGTGATATCAATGATGAACCTGGAAAGCACCAGAAAGAGGAGGTGGGGAAGGAGAGCAGCTGAAGAAGAAGAGCAAGAAGGAAGGACGAGGAAGGAGGAAAACAAAAGGAGAGCAGGAGGAGGAGGAGGAGGAAGAAAGACGACGAGGACGAGGAAGGAGAAGAGGAAGAAGAGGAAGGAGAAGAAGAAGAAGAGAAAAAAGAGGAAGGAGAGGGAGAAGGAAGAGGAGAAAGAAGAGGGAGGAGGAGAGGAAGGACAAGAAGAAGAAGGAGAAGAAGGAGAAGAAGGAGAAGAGGAAGGAGAGGGAGAAAGAAGAGGAGGAGGAAGGAGGAGAAGAAGGAGAGGGAATAGGAGCAGGAGGAGAAGAAGAAAGAAGAAGAAGAAGAAGAAGAAGAAGAAGAAGAAGAAGAAGAAGAAGAAGAAGGCAAGAAGGAGGAGGAGAAGAAGGATGCCGAAGAGCAGGAAGGAGAGGGAGGAGAGGAAGGATAAGAAGAGGAAGAAGAAGAAGAAGGAGACGAAGAAGAAGAAGGAGAGGAAGAAGAAGGAGGAGGAGAGGAGGAAGAAGAAGAGGAAGACAAAGAGCAAGACGGAGAAGAAGAACAAGAAGAAGACGACGACGACGAAGAAGAAGACGACGACGAGGAAGAAGAAGCAGCAGCACAAATAGGTCGTAAAGAGTAGAGCGAGTAGGAGGAGGAGTGAAGTCCCCTACTAGGAAATTTGCCTTAGAGCCTCACCTGCATATCAATAATTGATTCTTGGGGATTGTCGAGGACCAAAAAGGCCAGCAGCTGTCTTCTGGATGTCAACTCTCTAACACAACGTCTCAAACTTTCCTGGTGCCATTAGGGAGCATAATGGAATGACAGTTGATCACAATTTAATGTTAGACAAAATAGTAAGTTATGGAACGATGAATGCAAAATAATACAGTCGTGGACAAAAGAATGGATTCTTGGGGATTGTAGGACCAAAAAGGCCAGCAGCTTATCGAATGATTATCATTATGAATGCAAAATAATACATTCACCAAACCGTAGAAAATACGTTGCAAACTTGCGACAAAGGACTGTCAAACTTTTCTCAAATCATTTGGCGGTCGGTCAGTAATACGCTCCAGCCTTTATCATTGCTGTCTTCTCTAATTGGAAGGGGGGTCCCAAAGCAACTGCGTAGACCCCCCCCAAAAAAAGGACAGAAAAAGCAAATTGTGCTATGGACGAAGGGAAGAGGGCGTAACAAACAGGAAAGTGTGTGGGAGAGGGAGTGCACAATGCCAGGAAAGGGAGGGGTCTGAGAGCAGAGGGGTCAAATGAGGGATATAAATGGATTGATTGCAGGTCTTGCCTTTTCATGAAACCGTCCATCCGCAATTACGAGTACAAGTTGTTGAATAGGGAGGCCGTTTGTTGCCGAGGACCTCAAGGTTGCTGCGTCAAGCATCCGGGCCAGGAAGTGCAGCAAGTCGACAGCAGGCTCGTCTGCTATCGTATTATCTTGATTAAATGAGAACTGTGAAACAATCTGGCAAAGACGAAACATGAGCGTGACACAAGCAAAATTTCGAGAACAACGTCAGGATTCTGAAAAGGGCCTTGATAAAGCAGCTTCGCCGAGCGTGACCTCCAGAAAGGACAGTTGCACTCTGTGTGTGTG